TTGTTCTCCCCTAGTGTCTTGCCCCTGCTGCTGCCACGTCCTGGCATCTGTCCCAGTCCGGGTGACCTTTTGTCTCAGGCCTGTGTCCTCATGGAGCAGAGGGATGGTCTGTACCTTGTCCTGATCTGAAAGGGGTGAGGGCCAGGTTTAGGGCTCTGATCCCTGGGTGGCCCTGCCCCCATCTCTGCTGCCATCATCCCACAGAACACCTACATTAATCATTAAAGTATGTATACTAGCAGTCATAAAAAAGCTGAGCTTCCAAACACTGGGAAAACCAAAGGTGAGCAGGGCTAGCCATAACCTGTCCTCTCTGCTCTCTAGACACCTGGAGCGTCCCAGGGCTTATTGAAAAGGGCTATGGAGACCGGGCTTCCAGTCCCAGCTCATTCCTAATTGCCTGTGGAGCTGAGAACAGGTCTTTTTGACCTCTTTTCTCACATGCAAAGTGGAATAACCACTTTTCTCTAACATTCTCTACCAGGCTGCCTCATGGAGCCATGAGGAGTAGAGGTGGATGTGGGTACAGAGGTAAGAGCACCAGATGAAGGATGTGCCCCTGTCTCCCCAGGACATGCCCTACTACCGGTCCCAGTTTAAGAAGTGCGCAGTGGTGGGCAACGGAGGCATCCTCAAGAACAGCCGCTGCGGGAGGGAGATCAACAGCGCTGACTTTGTTTTCCGGTAAAAGCATCACCCTGGTCTGCACCTGCTGCTTCTGCCCCTCCCACTTCACGCCTTCTCCTTGTGGTACCCCACCCTCTCATGCTGCCTTTTACGTAATTCATCCCCCACCCCCCACCCTTGCAGACCCTTATGCTCTGGCTTGTCCCTTCTCCTCTCCAGTTCTGTCCCTTTGGGCATGTGGTCGAACCTCTCAAGTCCTCAGTCTCCACATTTGCAGAATGGGAGCATAATAGATGTGAAAACACACAAGTCTCACAGGGCCCATGCGGATCTGTGGGTGAGGCTGTCTGGGCAGCCACCTTCCTGGTTGGGTTGTATGGCTTGGAACCAGGATAACCTTGTGGTTGACACCAATATGAACTTCACCCTTAAATTTCCTAAGCTAGAGACTGGTCCTTATATTTCTTCTTCCTTATGTAGAGCCTCTTATATCTTTGGGTAGCCTCGCTTGTCTTCAGGCTGGGTAAAGACGATAGGTTGGAAATAAAAGCTTAAAGTAGAGGGACTTAGGTTGAGGCTGCAGTGGGCTCTCATGGGCCATAGATTCACAGTTATTGGGGCTGGTGGGGGAAGGGGTCAAACTGGCCCCTCCATATCCAGGCCACAAAGATTCCACCCAGCTGGCCGCCTCTGCATTGCTCCACTCATGTGATCATCATCCCTCCCTTGCCCATACCCTTGCCCGAGCTCCATCTGGAATGACTGATCACATGCCTCTGGGCTGCCTCGTCTCTTCTGCAGGTGCAATCTACCCCCCATCTCAGAGAAGTACACCATGGATGTGGGGGTGAAGACAGATGTGGTCACCGTGAACCCCAGCATCATCACAGAGAGGTCAGTGGCCCTCTTTCTAGACCTGTGCTGTCCAATATGGTAGCCAGTAGTCACATGTGGCTACTGGGCACTGAAATATGGCTCGTCTAGATTGAGATGTGCTGTCTGTAAGTGTAAAACACACACCCAATTTCAAAGACTTAATATGAAGAAGAGGATGGACCATATCTCATTAAATTTTTATATTGATTGCATGTTGAAATGATAGCATTTTGGGTATATTGAGTTAAATAAAGTATAAAAATTGTACCCATTTTTGCTGCTTATTTAAATGTGCTTATTAGAACATTTAAAATTGCATATCTGGCCTGCATTGTATTTTTTTTTGGACAGCACTGGTCTAGACTGTCTTCACCTAGGGATGGATCAGAGAGCTTTCAGTGTGTGATAGGGGTGGGGGGGGCAGCTCTCTGTTCAGTGCGTCCAGCTAACACTGGGGAGAATCATGCAAAGATCTCGACCCCACCCCCACCCCCTAGCTCCCTCTTGGGGTCTGTCTGGAAGGCTTCAGGTGAAGGGGTCAATGTGTTAAAACTCCAACCTGGACATAGTCACACCATCCAGGGCAGATGAAAGGTCAGAAAAAAGGGGGGGGGGCTTGTTAAATTGGATCAGAGGCCCAGGAACACTGACAGAGTCAGCAGAGTGAGGGAGCATTCTTAGCCCGTGTAAGATGAAGCAACCCTGAGAGCTGCTTAATGTAGAGGAGAGGTGAGCGAGGGCTGCAGGGGTGGGGGTAGGGGGTGGCGGAGAGGACAGGCAGCTGGTTTGGTGTCCTGTGTTAGGATCGCGGGGAAGACAGTACAGGGGAAAGCCCCCAGGGCTCTAGGGAAAGCCCCCAGGGCTCTAGGGAAAGCCCGGACACCCTCACCACGTCCCCACTGAGCCCACCAGGGACAACCGCATCAGTCTGGGTTAAGCACTGCTTTCCCCCAGAAGCCACACACTATATATTTGTCCCTTTGGGTCCAGATTGTCCTCTCCTGCCCCACTTACAAAAAGATAACTGTCCCCAAGGAAGGCTGGACCTTCATCTGCTGAGGTGACTGAGGTGAAAGAAGGCAGGGATGGCCTTTGAAAGCATCTCAGGGTGCAGGGGGTGGGGGAAACAAGGGCCTCGGGGGAGTGGGCGGCCGACTGTCTCCCTCTGCGCCCGCCCGTCCAGGTTCCACAAGCTGGAGAAGTGGCGGCGGCCCTTCTACCGCGTGCTGCAGGTGTACGAGAACGCCTCGGTGCTGCTGCCCGCCTTCTACAACACGCGCAACACCGACGTGTCCATCCGCGTCAAGTACGTGCTGGACGACTTCCAGTCGCCGCAGGCCGTCTACTACTTCCACCCACAGTACCTGGTCAACGTGTCGCGCTACTGGCTCAGCCTGGGGGTGCGTGCCAAGCGCATCAGCACCGGCCTCATCCTGGTCACGGCGGCGCTGGAGCTCTGCGAGGAGGTGCACCTGTTCGGCTTCTGGGCCTTCCCCATGAACCCCTCGGGGCTCTACATCACCCATCACTACTACGACAACGTCAAGCCCCGCCCGGGCTTCCACGCCATGCCCTCCGAGATCTTCAATTTCCTGCACCTGCACAGCCGCGGCATCCTCCGCGTGCACACGGGCACCTGTAGCTGCTGCTGAGGGCGCGAAGGCTGCCCGGCCCCACCCGGCACCCAGACCTCATCTCTCTTCCCTCCTGCGCCGGGCAGGGCAGTGCGAGGGCCTGGATGAAAGGCTGCCACACTCCCTCAATAGTTGAGCTTCATACTTGGGTCCTGTGCGCCCAGAGGCGGGGCTGGGGGCTGGGGCAGAGGCAGCTCTGTACCAGGCTCCCCTGACCTCAGCCTGGGCCCTGTGCCTCCGCCCTGCCCACAGTAGCATGCTGCTGGGCCACAGTGCAAGATCCGGGCCCTGGGGACTGCAAGTGAATAAAGCACATTTCCACTCGATTTTAGCATCCAAGAGAGCACAAACTGTGGCGGCCTTGTCACAGCGAAAGGAAGGCCCACAAAGAATGGAAAAGGGGGAGACAGGACATGTGAGCATGCGCAAGGTTTAATTCAGACTTCTGGGTTCCTGAGTTTTATACCCAGGCCTCGGCCCTGTTTTGCTCTCTAGGGTCTCAGAGCTTAGAGGCCAACCCAGCCACCAGACCTACTGCAAAGACACAGTGACTCAGAGAGAGGTCCAGGGGCTTATCAACCAAGGTCACACCAACTGAGTCCATTAAAGTGATACCGTGAGATCGAGCACAAGGCCTGTGTGTTAGGATCTTTACCAAGACACCGTCAGCTGGGGAGAGCCACACCTTTCAAACATATCCTCAGAGGCGCGCGAGCACACACACACAACACACAGTCTTGGTGCCTCCACATTCAGTCCTGCATTTGCTCTTTTGATGAGAAGGAAATAAACCAGACCAGCCATTTGCACTAAGGTTTTTAAGCCAACGTTATCGACTTAATAAGTGCTTAGCGATTTGCTTCCTGCTCTGTCTCCTTATTTTCAGCTGTTTTAAACAGGAGTTATTTATAAGATCCGTTCCTCTTTATGTTCCCGAATACTGCAGAATCCAGTTATATCGCATTCCTGAACAGGAACCGTAAGGCTTTGGCTGGATGGCGCTGACATGTAACTGGCGAGCTTAGTGGACCAAAGCGCATCATGGCCTCTGATACCAGCATCACTGAGGGATCTACTGTAAAGGCGGGACTTCCCACACGGCACAGCCTGGTGGTCCTCAGGCATATGGACCCACAGGGCCTGCGCTTTGGGAAATGAGCTGTGCCTAGGCTGAAGGGGGTTTACCATGCCGTGCCACGTCTGAAATCCGTTCCCTCTGCTTCCCCCTGGTGTTTCCGTCATTAACGCGGCTGTGCCTAATAGACCCTGTTGGTGAATTGCCTTAGAATTCAGCTTTGTGGAGTCAATGCTAGTGCTTGGGAGACTTCAGCCCCTTCCCTCCCTCAGACCCCTCCCTCCCTTCCCTTTTCCCTTCTCCCCTCCCTCCTGTAAACAGGCCTGTTTCGCAAGCCTGTTCTGCTTTGATCTGGGGTTGGGCTTGGGAAGACTTGATGACGACAGGCATACCTCGTTTTATTGCACTTCACTTTATTGAGCTTCACAGATGTTGTGTTTTTTTTTTTACAAATGGAAGGCAAGACCCTCCATCAGCAAAAAGGTTACAATTCACTTTATTGCGGTGGTCTGGAACCGAACTCACAGTGTCTCTGAGGTCTGCCTGTATAGGCCGTATTTCTGTCTCATAGGGAGGAGGGCAGACCATAAACAGATCCCAGCCCCAAGTGCTGGGAGCTCTGAGGAGGAGGAGGAGGAGGAGGAGCTGGGAGAACAAAGCAGGGAGCTGCTTTTATCTGATCACCTTATCTTACAGGCAGAGCAACAGGCCCAGCCAGACAGGAGAGTGCAGATGCTGTCCTGGGCCTCCAGGCTTACGACCCAGGGCTTTTTTCTTGGCTAAACCACTTCACCTTGGCTTGGGTTTCATGTTGGCGGGTGGTTATAGAGTGTTTGCTCCTGGCACAATGCTGTTCTAGATGCTGACCTTCCACCTTTGTTCTGAGCTCTGGTCCTGACCAGGAAAACCTCAGGTTGCTCAGAGCCTCAGCCTGCTTGTCTGCACAGCAGGGAAGTAGCCAAGGAGACAAGGTAGGCTCAAGTCCTTGGTAAACCAGGAAGAACTACGCAAGGACAGTGGATGGTTATGCCTTCTTGGCCTCTGCCTGTTTCTCCCAAGGAAGGAGCTTCTGGGAAAGATTCCTGTAAACTGAGGTTTCCAGACACTTGTTTGTGGTTCATTGAGCCCAGTTCTTGAAACCATGGACTGTCAGAACTGCAAGGCTCTTAAAGACGATTTTGTCCTACGTAAGGAAACAGGCCCAGAATGGGGTGGTCACCTGGGTCAGGTCATGCCTGGGTCTCTACCGAGTACCTGCTATGGACAGACCCTCTACCGGAAGCCATCTGGGTAATGTTTACGTTCCAGATGGGGCAGCGTTTGGGAGCTGAAGCCTTGGTGAATCAGACACCAGGGTTCTCACAGCCGAGGGGGTTGCAGGCTGGTGTCTGCCCCAGCCAGGGCCGTCGTAAGAGCTGGGAATGGAGCGTGAGGAGTCACTCCATGTAGGAGCTGGGTCTCAGGACTCACGGCCCTATTTCTGCTCGTAGGTCTTAGGGCAAGTCTCTTCCTCTCCCTTAGCGTCTCAGTTTCCTCACCTCCACAACTAGGGGCTTAGATCTCTAGAGTCTCTCTAAGCTCTGCTTTCTTTTGAGGCATTCATGATATATGGAACTAAGCCATCCATGATATTTATGATTATAATAGCTAAAATGTACCGACTCTCATTTTGTGTCAGGCACTAGGCTGAGCACTTTCTTGGCACTAGCTCCTGTAATCATTGCAGGACTCCTCTAGGTAAGAAGGCTCCTGTTGGACAGATGGGGAGACTGAGGCTCAGAGTGATTCCGTGACTTGCCCATGGTCAGGCACCCAGTGGAGGAAACCACACCCATGTCATAGAACCCCCAAGCCTGTGCTCCAAACCTCTGTCTTAGCCACTTCCCAACCAGTGTCAAACAAGAGGGATCCTGAGATTCCACTGCAGGGTGGTACTGGGCCCTGCTCCAGGGACAAATGCTCTGGGAGGCTGTGATGGGTACAGGAGGCTGTCTTGGGTCCAAAAAGCAGTCTTTGCCTATAGGTGCCCCACTTCCCCCAACCCTGCCCCTGGCAGCGACACTAACCCACCCACAGTAGAATATAACGCCGTTCTGGTACTGGGTGGGGTGGAGGGTCGGGGGGACTGAGGCCATGTCCACATTTGCAGGTGAGGAGAGTTGCCCACATTAAATGACAGCATGTTGAGTGACTTGCCCAAGGCCACATGGCCAGCTAGTACCTCAACTGGGACTCGCCTCATCTCCTGATTTCCAGGCCACACTTTTTCTCCTGCAGCCAGTGTTTGTAGGACAAACATTTTTCAAAGGTTTAGAAAGACCTGGGCATTGACTCAGGAAGCCTCCAGCATGCTCCTTGCAGCCCCGTCACCATCCCACCCTGTGGCTGGCGTACACGACCAGTTAAATTCTTATTTAAGGGAAATTGATGCTCCACAAACAAATTTGCACCTTCCGTTGTGCTAAACCCACTGCTTCAGGGTTGAAAGGCAGCAAAAACGAGGAAAAGACTTAGTGCTTAGCCAAGCAAAAGGGTAGGTGGCTCAAGGTCAGATGCAGCCTCCGAGACCGTTTCAGCGGTGCTGCCACAGCAGCTCTGCCTGGCTTATCACCTGGTGCCACAGAGAGCCCATCGCCCTTGACTTTGCTGAGCATGGGGAGGAAGCAGGGGCAGCGCTTTCTGACAGGTGAAGGACAGCACAGAGCTGGCTTCAGCCAGGGGTTCAACAAACATTTACTGAGCACTCACTCTGTGCCAGGCATTGGGCCCGGTGCTGGGGAACTCGAGTGGTGATGAGCAAAACATAGCCCCTGCCCTCCTGGAGCTCCCAGTCCAGTGGGTGTATCCAGTCGCTGAACCAGGAGGCCCACAAGCACACACACGGGCTGTGCTGAGTGCTGGCAAGTCCTGGCTTGGGGGTAGTTATCAGGAGAGGAGGACAAGGACATGCCAGAGTCAATCCTGAATTCTAAAGGTTGGCAGGAGAAAGATGGTAATCGCCAAAGTAGTGGATACTTATTAGGCCTCATCCTTGACATCCATGTAACGTGACGGGGGTGGCTTCCGGTTTTCTTGAGTCCTCTTCTCCTTTGATTCCTGACAAACCACTCTCCCCCCAACTTTCCCTCCATCTCTGAATGCCCCTGCTCAGGGCCCTTTATTGATTCATCTTCTGTGAAGCTACCTCAGAGTTCTCATCTCTTTCTATGAGCGTTCCTTCAGAAATCTTATCTATGCACAGCCTCAAGTCTCTCCTGTCCTTGCATCTTAAACCCCTTCCCTACAGACCAGTTCTCCCTCGGAGCATCAGAAGTAGGCTCGCTGTGGCCTCCTGAACATCTGTACCTGCATCCTCTCAAACCTCAACATGTCCTCGACTGGTGTAGTTAAAAGGACAATCTGGACTCCGCATCACCTCCTACCGCTTACCAGCTGGGTGACCTTGGGGGAGCTCCTGAAGCCCCTGGAGGCTCAGATTCATCAGCTGAGGAGCGAGACCAGGACGCCAGCCTCACCAGCTATGGCTAGGGTGACGTGAACTAGGGTTGCACGATGCCTAGCACAGCAGTCGGCACAAACCAGACACCCGGTGTGTGCAGGTTCTCTCTGCCTCCTCCCTTCCCTAGTCACCCCTCGGTGAATGGCTGTACCCCACCACTGGCCACTCAGCTCCAAACCTGGGTCAGCCCTGGCTTTTCCTGCTCCTTCACCCTCTATGTTGATTTGCTTTCCAAATCATGTCAATTCTGACTTATAAATATCCCTTGAATTCATTCCCTACCTGTATCCCTTCTGCCTAAACTCAGGCCCTCTGACTGATCTGCTTCCAGAGAATTACTTTCCGAAACACCACCGTTGGTGGCGTCCCTTGCCTGCCTGTACCATGTAGTCCAGATTCCTTACCGAGACACGTTGGGCATGTCACAAGTTGGTTCACTCACTTCCTAGAGACCCTCCTGCCACCTTCCCACCCATCCCCATCCTGGGCCTTAATGCCCAGATTGGCCCCACACTCCCACCTCCCTCTCTCCTCCCCTTTACTTTGTCCATTTTGCAGATGATGTCAGGTCGTGTCCTGTGTCCTCCCTTCTGTGAACTTGAGCTGGGCACTCTCTCCTCTGTGTTTCTACCCCAACCATCGCTGACTTCTGTTAGGACATCCTTGTAGCACATGGCATGGGCATCCTGTGTCTTTGGCTGAGGGTTTGTCCTCTTCCCCAAGGGCAGCCACAGTATTTGGCTCATCTTAGGCCCCCAACACTGGCACAGAGACACGTTTTCTGTGGCAATGGGGTCTCTGGTTACTGAGTGGGCTCCATGGTTCAGGAGACCCTATTAATAAACTGAGTAATGCCCTGTGAAATTATCAGCTTAAGAGTCCTCTGTTTTCTGCCTAGTACCTCCTCTGTGGCAAGCACGGAGCTATGCAGACTGTCCCACCTGTCCTTGGGGAACTTGGGGCCCAAAAGGCTGAAAGGTCTGTGTGTTGGTGGCTTGCTGGCTCTGTCGTCCAGTCTCTGCTACCCTTTTGTTTCCCCTCATTATAATCTTCTTGCTCATCTGCCTTTTGCCTGCTGACCAACACTCTTTCTCTAGTTTAAACTAAAGAAGGGAAGGATGTTTCCTTTCCCCCTTCCTTCCCTTTACCTTCCCTCCTCAAAACCATATAGCTTTGTCAGGATCTTGCACCACTGTGCTGAGGTGCAGGTTGGCGCGAGGGATGTATCAATAGTGTCACGAAAACAAGTGGGAAGTGTGTTACTTATTGGCTGAGAAAGAGATGAGCTGAACTTTGCAAAACGTCTGCAAAAGGCCTGGTGGAAGGCCAGGACCTTGGGGCTCTTTCCTTGGGCGGAGGGGATGGTGCTGCTCTGAGTTTAGCACACACCCTGGCCTCTCCCTGCAACCAGGGCACCCCTCCTCGAGGAGGCTGCTTGCGGTTCAGGGGTCAGACAAGGCCAGGGTGTGCTTTCTGCTGTTAGGAGGTCTGGTCAAAGCAGGGCCGTGTGTGGAGGTCGATCACACCCTACAAGTCACCCTGATACAGCAGTGTGTTCTTCAAAGGGTAGACTATAGGTCACCTGTGTCGGAATCCCCTGGGTGCTTGTTAAAACCCCAGCTCTGGACTCGGAGCCTGTCGGGGGAGGGCAGTGATGCCAAGCTGGTGCGGCATTCCAGGTGATCTTAGCCTTCACAGCTGCTGGAGAACCACTCTGCACCTCTGCTTGTGGTTCAGCAGCTGTCGCCAGGTGAGGGGTGATGGCCGGCTCGATATTCTGACTGGAGTCTTAAGTTAGAAAAGAGTGAAAACAAGAATCTGGCACACAACCCAACTCCTGTGTTTTCTATAAATATAAATGTAATAGATAACCTGCTATTAAACTAGCATCAAAAATGAACTGCTCAGGAATCTGTCACATTTACAG